TGTGTTTGTGTGTTTGTGTTTGTGTGTGTTTGTGTGTGTGTTTGTGTGTGTGTGTTTGTGTGTGTGTTTGTGTGTGTGTGTGTGTTTGTGTGTGTGTTTGTGTGTGTGTGTGTGTTTGTGTGTGTGTGTGTGCGAGTGAGTGGGTGAGGTGTGGTGATGCTAGGGCCACTAGAATATCAGTAAGAACCACTGCAAGTCCGGCCAGGTGTCGGACGGAGGAATGAAGAATTGAAGTACCTCCAGCCCCACCCCCTTCACCATGCAACACACTACTGCGAGGATGGAACCAGATTTGAATAGGCGAGGGCAGCACACCGCTGTGCCCTGGGTAGCATTCCGATTTCTCTGGTGTGGGCCCCTTTGCTTCGGGCATAGCACAACATGCTGCTTTTACCAGACATCGCCCCGCAGGGCTTCAGTGACATAAATCAGAATACATGCCCGCACAGCTGCTGCCAAACTGGCTCGCCATTCAAGCTCGAAGGTCTTGACATACCTCAAAATGCTCCCATTTAATCAGTTCACTCAACTTTGCAAGGTTCCATTCTCGAGGCTTCTTTGAAATGGTTGTCTTCCTTTGCATGGTCCGACGCTCCGAATCTCCGACAACAAGCAAAGGACAGTATGGAGGAACTGGGCGAGCGCCAAAGAAAAAAGGCAGGCCATGAGTCGTTCAGTTTCAGCGGACTGTCGGAGCTTCTGCGGTTTCTTGCCATCAATGCTGCGAACTGCGGTTCGCAGCATGCGCAGCAACAGCAGAACTGGACTGCATCTTAAGACTCATGCTGCTACTCGTACCTACGTGTACCTACTCACGGCGTTTTGCATATCAATTTTTTGAGGCCTCAGATGAAGTTGCGCTGAAACCTCGGCATCGACTTGGAGCTCCTTCAAGAGCTTAAAGGGCGTATTTAAGGCGACTCATAAAGAGTACAAGTTATAAGTTATAAGGGTCACTACAATTCAGAAATTTCGGGGTGGTCTTGAGGTTTCTACTACATGTAGGATACTATTACTATGGCACTTACTCCTGGAAGATGGGCTTGATGGACTGGCTGGCTTCACATCCTTCTGGTTGTAGGGCCGTGTCAACTCGAGGCGAGTTATCTCCCGCCACGGGTCACTATCTGCTTTGTAGAGGATGATCGTCACATCCGTACCATCCGGGTTGATCCGGAACTTGCAGCGCTCTTCTGCCAGTCGGCCTGGCAGCTCGTTAGAGTAAGCTGTCCAAGCGTAGCCCGCACAATCAACGGCTCTGATTGTGAAGCTGCTGGAGTTGAAGTCTACCTGGACATCTCGAAAGGTCGTGCCCAACGGGCTGAAGTGCTGGGGAGTGATGCGCAAGCGGACACGTCCGGCATCCCTGGCATCGCTTTGGGAGGATGTGGCACTTCGGGCTCCTGTCAGAGGGGCTGGATGAGGGAAGAGGTTGAAACTGCCTCAGCCCTGGAAAGCTTAAATGACGAGACATCATGATGCCAGTCGGGAGGCCCGGTAGGCATCTTCACATTCACAAGGTTTCGACGATTTGCGGTTTGATCCACCACAATTCCTTTAGACCACCGACATGCTCAAAGAAGGCGATTTACTCATCTCGGCATGCAACTCAGGACAGCGACTGTTCGGCTCTTTCTTGACAGAATTAATCAGGTTGTGACCTGCATCACAAACTATTCATCCATGTTTAGACGGCTCCCAACTACGGCCTTGAATCTGAACAAGCTTGAATAAACAAAACTGTCGAAGCCAGCTATCGACAACTAAGCTTCAACCTGAACCGTTTTTGGAGCGACCCTGGCTCCTGGCTTCTTGCAGTCAGTAATCTTGTCACATTTCTGCTCCGCAGGAGCACGCCCCTTCGTTCCATGCTTCTCCTGCGCTTCCTGGAGCTTCTCCTGCTTCTTCTCATGCTTTTGTAGACGAGCATCTGTCCCATAGAGGCATGCCACCTGCGGAAAAAAGCCCTGGTGTGTGTTCTGCAGGACTGCCTTGGCAGTGCTGTAGATGCGGCTGGCCACATCTGAATTGAACTCGTGGGCTGGCATGTCATAGTCCAAGCCAGCTGCCAAAGATACACAGGTGGTCTTGCCTTCCTGGACATTTCCGACCAAGGCAGAGGCAAAGTCCTTCGAACCTGCTTTCTGCTCACCTGGCGTCTTGAGGCGGAAGACTGGCTGTCTCTCGTTCTCTCTCGAGCTCCCTCTCTCTCCCGCTCTTTCTTCCCTCAGGTTTCTTTATTATTATTTTTGTTGGGGGGGGGGCAGGCTTCCGCCCGCGAGTGCGCACGCCCAGTTCAAGGGTGGAAGTGGCGATAGTAGTCATGCAACAGTACACTCTCCTTGTATTGCAGTTTGCAGAATATTGGATCTGAGAATTCTTAGGGTCGTGGACTGGCTGCCGCACCTGTATCTTCAAACCATTCAGACATCTCCTCGAAAGCCTTATCAAACTTCGGAGCGCAAGCCCAGGCCATCTGCCACCTTGCGACCAAGGATCCCGGAGCAGGGAGGGTTGAGGATCTAGCAGTTTTTCAGGGTTCTGTAAGGATTACCTGTGAGGGTTACGAGTTAGTGGCTCCTTTTCGTTTCGCAAAGGCTTGGGGTTAGGAGATAAAGTCGTGTTCCGTACATCCGGCCTGGTCCGCCCCAAAGGCGCTAAAAGTGTGCTCTCGCAGGCGCGCCCCCCCACTTGAGAGAACGCGCTGCGGATGGATCACTCGGAATCAGACCCCGGCATGAGATCTCGGCATTCACACTCCGTCCTGTGAAGTTGAACAACAAGTTAAGTTCACAAGTCAACAAAACCAATGACTGCCTTGCCAACGATGGCAAGTTGACAAAACTGGCCGTAAGAAGCTTCGGTCTACGTGCAACTCTCAGGCACACAAGACTACTGAGGACAACGCGAGAAGACGCCCGACAGAACCCGGGCGACTGCGACAGTGTCGTCAATGTTGGTTGGGCTTGTCTTGCCCTGCACCGCATGCAAGCACAGCCCCGCCAAGGCGAAGTTTCAGCTGGGCTGACACCTTGCCAATTATCAGCAATATGAAGATGAGTGGGACGGTGGTTGCAAAGCAAGAGGCAGCATTCAGCTGTTTAGCGTTGCACCGGCTGTTTGTTCGTGTCTGTTCCATCTAGATGATGCATGATAATAGCGCAAGCTGTTTCTGCAAGACAAGACGTTTCTCACCGGAGAAGTGGCCAATTGATGGATTCTGCCCGAGGCATTGCTAGCATAGTTCAGGCATTAACAAATTGGTCAGCATGGGTCTCTGCAACATAAGAGCTGCAGACCTTGGTTTATGGCTCTGCAAAGCCTTCGCCCAAACCGTGAACCAATCCGAACGCCTCTGCGGCACTTTGCTCCTCGCCGGAGCTCGAGAAGCCTGAAAGCGCCTCACGCCCCTTGGGCTGTATCGGGCCCAGCAAGCCTCTCCAGAATGCAGATGGGATGATGGCTACCAAGCCGGGCTTGGTCTTTGATCATTCGGACATCTGTTGGGCTTGGGTCTAACTATTTTCGGCTTGATCATCACAATCTTACTTGGCAGTGAAGTAGCAGGCGCAGCAGTTGCAGTAGTCGTCGTCGGCAGCACTATCAGTACTCGTCGCCATCGTCGAGTCGCACTGTCGCAGTCGTAGTCAGTGGTGGTGGTGGCTGCTGCCCCTTTTGATTTGTTCATGCTGCCTCCACGCAGAGCCCCGTTCAGGAGCCACATCACGCAGTTCCTCCAGGCCAGCTTCACACTTCCCTGTCTGCTTGCTCTCGCTGTGCCTTCTTCTCCTGTCTGGTGCGGGGCCCTCAGTTTCAGGTGGCTCAGGTTTCGGTCGGCTTGTGATACCCCTTTTTGGCTCGAAGATGCATCTCGGCGCATGGCACCACAGTTCAGCCTCACCTGTAGCCTGTAGACGGTACGCCAATGAATATGGCCTGTTGCCTCGAAGGTTTAGAACCTAGACGTTCTTTTCAGGTCCTACAATGGAACCAGGCTACCTGCGGGCTCAGCGCTGTCGGAAGTGTGTGAGCAGGATGGAGCGCGGCAAGAAACTGTTCCAGCCTGCGCGCTGCCAGTAGTAGGCCACCATGAGCCCGAAAGCATACCCAGAAGGGTATCCTCGCAAGCAGTGCGTTGCAAGCAAGGGCCTTTTGGCCACTGTCTCTCTTCCTTTACCCTGAAAGCAGCTTCTTGACTGGGGCTGGCCTTGTCTTTGTCCGCAGATCTGCCGCCTGCAGATCAAGAGAACCCGAAGACCCGAAACAAATCATCGGGATGCTCGGCTTTCTTGACTCCCGAAACGATCCCACATTCAAGGCTATGTGTCAGATACGCAATCTATCCTGTCTTCAGTTCCGGAAACAGCGACGGCATCCATAACAACATGCATGGTGCTGATGCTAATGATGATAACCTTGTTATTCGTGGTTCGATGAAGCACACGTGGTAACTATCATCATTCAAGGATTCCCAGGAATAGCAGATTACCCCACTCGTTGTCGAAACCGCTGCCAAACACGTCCTGCCGTCATCTCGCTGTTAAGTCTAGTTCTGCAAAAGCACAACAAGTGAAAGGAATAGAAACATCTTCCAGGCTGCTTCCGACAACATGGACCCCCAAGCGTCCAAATGCAAGCCGCAGGCTGCATTGCTTCGAGCGCGGAGAGAACAACAAGCTCATCCACCTACGACAAGCCCAAAATTCTTGGTATGTGGAGAACCTCCTCCTTAATCTCCTTAACATTGAAGCGCCGCGAAGTCCCTCTGACAATCCTCTGAAGCTCCCTCAGCGACAAGCTCCCGCATCCGCGGACCTCTGTGCCCAAGCTCGGACCAGGAGCAACACCGCAGCCAGGCCAGGGGCTGCGGCCTGGCGACCTAGGTTTCTCAAGGCGCGAGAAGAAACGTTGCACTTCTTTTCTTTCTGAAGGATCTTGTCCGTCTGCTTGGTTAGCTTCACGAATTCCGGAGTCGGAGGAGCTAACTACATGTGTGGTTCTGGGTTTAAAGGTGAATACAAGCCCGTCAGAATTTCTGCATCCAGTGCTCGGTCCGTGCAATCAAAGCCGAACAGCACTCAAGGCGACAAGGTCACACACAGCCGCAAGACAACCGGCCAACGGCAATGCACGATGACGATACTGCCGCTTACGGCTGCTGGTGCATACGCATGACCGAAGCCGAACCTACGACGGCGGAGAAGATTCCAGATTCCACAGCAACTGCCACACGCTCTCAACGGCATCGGCTGCGGCGATTAGCATGATTCACTGACTAACCCATCCCAAACAGGAACTACTTAGGCGCCTATGGGAAGTGACTAAGTCGCAGCATACCGGGCTTCCCGGCATGCTCTGGCGAGGAGTTCGCTCTTTGCGAGCGTGGCCAGGGTCTGGTCGAACGTGACCTGCATCCGGCAGTGGCCAGCTCCACTTTCTGGGCTGGAAGAAACCCCGACTGTTCGATGTGGTTCTCATTCGTCAACCTGCACATTTGGTTGACATAATTCTTCCGCATCCGTAAGTTTCAAGCATCCATGCGGTCGGAAATGGAGCCTCGATGCCGGCATCGACGTGGGCATGCCTGCTTTGCAGCTGTTAGATTGCTGAGCGTCCCATCCCAGTGCAAGAACCCTTGCTGCTAGTGGCTCACACTTAGACTAGATTTAGATTGCCAAATCCCCAAAGGTCGGCTAGCCTTTCCAAGATCTGATCTTGTCGCTCATTTCCGATAGACTGGACAGTAGCGTGAGTATGCTGACAGAGCCAAGGCCAAAGCCCAAAGGCCCGGACCCAAAACATTGAAACTTGAGCCTCAACCCAACCCTCCCTACAGCCACGAAGCCGACACCCCAAACCGAAACCACTACCAACATTCGTACCCTCACCCAGACTCTCATCAGCTACGAGTCAGCTAGGTATCGTTGCCCAAACTCCCACTTGTGTAGAGGGAGCTCGTATACAACTCCATTTTGTAACTTCATTTTTCCTCTAGAACCCCAAAGCCTTGTACACGAAAAATAACGAGCATCGAATCCCGACATCGTTTTGTAACTAGAGCTGGCGAATCTGGAACAACCCCCACCTCAGCCGCAACATCGGGCGGCGAGCGTCCAACGCCATCTCCATCACCTCCCAGTTCGCTTCAGCCTGATTTGATGTGGGCGTCAGCCGCTGCAGCGGGTACGTGGGATCCTCGGGCCTTGAAAATAATCATTATCAATGTTATTCATAAGGACAATCATAAGAACAATAAGAACAATAGTAATATGTAGAAATAAATAATAGTAGTAACAACTAAAGCCTAGACCCCTTTTGCAAGTAAACCTTAAACCCCAAACCCTAAACCCTAAACCCCAAACCCTAAACCCCGATCCCTAAGCCCTAAACCCCAAACCCTAAACCCCAAACTTCCTAAACCCCAAACCC